TTAAAGTAAGGGATCTGGTTGTTATCTTTGATTCTTCCATCCATGTTGCTGCAAAAGGTATGTGTTTTTTTTTTTTTTTTGGTTGTTAAGTAATAGTCCACTCAGTATGTGTACCACATCTTTTTAATCCAGTCATCTACTTTTTGGCATTTGGGTTGATTCCATGTCTTTCCTATTGTAAATAAAGCAGCAATAAACATGGGGGCGTGGGTGTCTTTTTGAACCAGTGTTTTTGTGTCTTTTGGGTAGATACCTAGGAGTGGAATTTCTTGGTCATATGGAAGTTCCATTTTTAGTAGTTTGAGAAACCTCCAAACAGTTTTCCGTAGTAGTTGTACTAGTTTGCATTCTCACCAGCAGTGCAGGAGAGTTGTGAACACCTTTTCTCCACTCTTTTTACTATCGCTATGATTTTGACTATTCACGGTATTTCATATAAGTGGTGCATACAGTATTTGTCTTTTTGCGATTGCCTTATTCATTTACATAATGTCTTCAAAATTCGTTTATGTTCTAGGGTGTGCCAGAATTTCCTTTCCATTATTTCCTTTCTTTTAAAGGCTGAATAATATTCCATTGTGCCTGCTCAAGCACACACACACCACATTTGTTTATCTACTTGTGCATTATGGACACTTGGGTTCCTTTCATGCTTAAGCCATTGTGAATAAAGCTGCAATGAACAAATTTCCTTAAGATGTGATGCCAATAATTTTGGATATATACCAGAAAAGGAATTGCTGGATCATACAATCTGTTGTTAGTTTTGAGGAAATGACAGATTATTTTTCAACAGTGGAGGCACCATTTTTCATTTCCATTAACAGCGCATAAGGGTAAATAAACTCTTAATTTTAGACTTATGTAAAGAGTTTGCATTTTGCAATATTAATTCACTTTTTTTTTTTTTGATCCTGGTCATTCCTGTTTCCATGTTGTCTTCTGACTCTTTTTGAAAGATTGCAATGGCAACCTTTCCATAAATGAGACTGAATGATGAGCCTTTTTGTCCTCAGAAAGGAGAAAAATATGTTGGGGGAATCCTTGTCAGGTAGAAAGAAATGTGAAAAGTCAGCCACTGCTGGTCTTGTTGGGTGTTGGGTAAGGAAGAAAAATGGATGTAGGATGGTTTTGTCCAGGTTTTCCCCTTCCAAGGGTGGGATTGTGAGGGCAGTGAGAATGTTTGGGAATATTGGTTGAGTTAGTGGTACTTAGTTGGGAAGGATATAAGCAGTAGTGTGCTTGGGAATATTTAACAGACAATTCTCTAGGGGGAAAATTCACACTGATTTTTTTTTAGCATTTGCCAATTTGCATGATGTAAGCTGGCTTCAAAATACCAATGCAAACCCTTGAACACAAAGTTGGGAAGAGGTGTGCAAAACAGTATAAAGTATAGTGATATACACAACAAGAGCACATCATTATAAAGTATTTCCCCCCAACAGATACAATAGTTGTAAATAACACCTGAGAGGAAAAATAAAACATTGGACAAAAATGAACAACAATGTAAAACATACAAAAATAAAAATAAAAAAGTAATAGCTGTAAATAATCTCAAGGGCATAGATGATAGTTAAATATAGAAAAAGTAGATAATTCTTGAGCATTTATCCTTTTCTTTCTTTTTCTTTTTTTAAGATTTATTCATTTATAAGCACAAGAACTGGGGCACAGCCAGAGGTGTGGGCAGTGAGAGACTTCCCCAGAGACAGAGTGGGGAGCAGAACTGGCAGATGTACTGAAACACACTGCTGAGGGGAGCAGCAGACTAGACAGGAGAGATCTGCTGCACCATGTGGGTCAGCTCCCTGGCCAGGGATCGAACTAGGTGCTGCAGTGGCTGCTGGCAGCTTCACAGCCACAGCCTGCACCACCAGGGAGGGCCCTATCCTCAATATAACTAACGGTAAGGGTATAGAAGCTAAATTTTATTTATTTATTTATTTTTAAAGATTTATTTATTTGTGCATACAGAACTGGGGTACAGGCCAGAGGTTCATGGGCGGCGAGAGGCTTCACCAAAGACAGACTGGGGAGCAGAACAGGCAGATCGATGAAGTACACTGCTGAGGGGAGCAGCGGGCGGGTCAGGAGAGGTCTGCCTCGCCATGTGGTCACCTCCGGGGCAGGCGGGAATCGAACTCATGTGGAAGTGGCTTTAGCTTCTTAATGCTGTGCTTTAACCCGCTGCGCCACCAGGGAGGGCCTAGAAGCTAAGTTTTAATAATGGTTGTGTTTAGCAACTGATTCACCAAAGTCCTGAAATGTGATCCTACTCACGAGCAGGCTAAAGCGCCCCACTGGCCTTGCACCTCAGTGAGCAGCCCCCAAAGTGACTATGCTAAAGCAGAAGAGCTGAGGGCTGGGTGCGTTGGCAAGATCTGGTAAGGGTCTGGGGTCCAAAGGAAGAGGCATGGAAGTGCAAGAATGTCGTGATGATCTAAAGCTGGACGTGTGGAATTGGAAGTGCCTGTCATTATGAAGCCTGTGGGCTTAGCTGGGCCAGTCCTTCAGGGCCCACCCATGCAGGGAGCAGACCTCGTAACCATTCTGCAGCAGCATCCATTGGGAGTGGAGGATACCCTGGTTCTCATGTGTCCCCCCAACCTCACCCCTTCCAAATGAGAACTGATAGTCTCCGTTCCTAGAGGATGTTTTGGAAAGAAACAAGGGGAAGAAGAGGAAATCTAAAAGAGTGTTTGCGAAAGAGAGTCACCATTTCAAAACAGACTACACTGAAAGGCCACTGTGATTCTGCAAATTAATCAATTTAACTTTGTTTATCTCTGTCCCACTCTCCAGGTAGGAGACAGACCTTTGCAAGGGAGAACCTATGCATTGTAGGAACAAAGACACAGCATGTTCTTTGTACTCCGCGTGGTGTGGCTTACTGCTCTACCCCACCTTTTCCCCAGGTGTCTGTACATCTTCTCCCCAAAGTAAAATCAGTTGAAACACCACAGTAGCTGGATTTGGGGCTGTAGGCAGTAATGTTCCTCTGACTTGTCCTTAACATGAATACAGACCATGAATCAAATGCTCCGTGGAGCTGAGGGGGAGGTGTGGCTGTGACAAAGAGCTGATACTGGGGGGTGGGGTAGTTGAGGAGGCAGCGTAGTGATTAGCAAGTGAGTCACTTCAATCTGGTTCCTTGCCTCTCTTGGATCACCATCTTCAGTGAATGGCTTTGAAGGCCATCAAGGCTACTACTTCAACCTGAGAGGAAGAATCTGAAGAAAACAGCGTGGAAGATGTTATGGAGCAGATCTATGAGGAGGACCTGTGACTTCCTCTCAGGATCCACTGATTACATGGGCCAAACCCTGTGCTTTGTTAGAAGAGATGGTGAGAGAGATGGGACTATCTCACGGTCTCCCAAGTATCTACTGAAGTGGAACTTTTAGTTCTTCTCATGGAAGTAAAGTGAATCTAAAAAGGTTAGATGGCACTGGCTTTCTTCAGATTTAAATTTTAATAGTCGATTAAATGTAATTTTTAAAAATATTTTTTATTCTGAAAATCAGTTTTCCACAGTAATGCAATTCTTTCCAAAAGAAAAAAAAAAAGAGCTCATTTAACTGGCTTTTCTACAAAGGACAATTGAAACATTTAAGGCAAGATTCACTTGTTCATCTCCATTTTAAAATGGAAACAAAACACCAGACTTCAGGAACTGGCTAAGGTTAACAACATGTGGGAAATCTCCTTTGCCTGTTCTGTTTTCCCTTTTGGTAGCCTCCTAGCTAAGAGCTTTACATTACTATGGATATTATAGTAAGACACTTTTGCTTTTGATTTTCTGTATAAACCCAATTTTAAATTTAAAGGCACACAATAAAGCTTTATGCATTTATTAAAATATACACATTTTGGTAGATTTAGAATTTTCCTTTAGTATCTTCATAAATCAATATATTGTCAACACCACATTCATTTGAAAATAAAACACGCTCCATAACATAGCTGCATATTGTTTCTTTCTTCATGATACACGACAACACCCCATTGTACGGTGCACCAATGGGAATTAAAAAACCACAAAACGAACAAACTTGAACAAATACAGCAATTCCATACAAAAAAAAGAAAGCAGAGAATGACACCAGAAATTACCATCTGCAAAAAGCAAGTTGTACTTCTCAAAGACGGAACAAAAAAGAAACAAGTTAGTAAAATTTACAAGCTGTATTTATAACTTTGGATATGAATCAGACAGTAATGCTTCTTTTCCACAGTGAGACAAGCTAGAATTTTGAGCCTGTTGTTAAATAGTATAAATACACGGGATGAGGACAACAGCTGCTCTCTTAATCCTGCTGGCCCTTCTATCAGTCCAGACATTTGAGGTATGTATGCTCCATCGTAGCATTAACAGTGCTTTTGCTTTGGAAAGTGGGGGTTTTGATTTCCAGTGTAATTGAACTTCAGGGTGCATACTGGCAACTGCCAGGACAATCACTAGGAGATGTGCAAGAACAGTGAACTCATCCCATATCCAAATGAATACAATCCCTCAGAGGCTGCACTTCCTGGGAAATTTACATGACCCACAATTCCCTTAAATTGGTGTCACCAGTGTCAATGTTAGGGAAGCAAAATAGAGGGGAGAAAAAAAAAAAAAAGCAGAGTGACTCCCTAAGGAGAAGATCCAGGCTGCCCCTATTTCCCAGTTCTAACACAATCCCATTTTCTTTTTTGACTGCATAAAAGTGCACTTCCTTTTTGCAAAGAGTAAGACACGAGTGTTACCTGCTCCCAGAAGTCTTCAATCTGAAGGCTGTCTTTGTGAAATTCCTCTGAAAATTTGGTGATTCCATGCATGGTGAACATGGCTTAGTGATTTCTAACATTATTGTAGTTGATTTCTAACTCTATTTTAGTTTAGTTTATTATTTAATGGGCTTCAATTCCTTTTGGGTTGTCTTAAAAAAATGAGACCATTTATTTAGAAGAGTAGTTTTGGCAAAATACCTACTGTCTAGGTATTTCAGGATGATGCCTGTGTTACCCAAGCCAAGCAAGAAGAGGAAAGCATTTTGGAAAGGAAATTGTTTCTGAGGAGGGGAACAAAGCACAACAGCCTCTTGAGACTTCGGTAAAATGTAAAGTAGGTATTGGCTAATAGTTATGTACATGGAAGGGGCTTTTAGCTACCTATCACCATTCCACCTGAGAGATAAACAGTAAACTCCTTGGTGAAACTTCATCCTGGCCCTTGCTTCCAGGAGAAATGCTGTTTCTGCCCCTGTGTTCTGCCCAGTTACAACTGATGCCTCTTTCATAGCTGAACCATCACTGGTTCCCAGTCTGTAGCTCTTTCTCAGGGACTCTGAAGGGCCCCTCTTGACAAATGGGTCCTGGGTGTTGGTGGGTACATGTATACTTGCTGGAGAAACTGAGGTCCCATGAAAATTTTGGGGAGAAATACTTTCCTCAAGTAGGCTTGTTTCAGAGTGCATACAGAAGGGACGCTGTCAAGCAGCCTGCAGCTAAATTTTGGGGTGCATATCTCCTTTGCCCTCCCTTCCCCTCCAGCATGAGAAATGAAGGTGTTCTCTGGACTGCTCAGTAGCCTGAAGACTTACACCCAACAGTGGAATGTTATCTATCTCCTGGATTGGTGAACTGACCCCGCTCTGGCTTTAGATATATTTTCTGGTTTCTGACTTCTTTCCCCAACAAGACATTCTAATCTGAGATACTAAATTAGCTAAAACCATGATTGACCCTTAGTGTAAAAACTGGTGGAAGAGGACTACAATTTCCTCTAGTCTTTGAGGCCACCCTCTGGCTCCTGAAGCTTCTATTTATAATGCAGAGAAGAGGTAGCATCTTGTAAGGTAGCTATCTCCAACAGAGTGAGATAAAGGAGGTCAAGTGTTTCAACTCCTTTCAGAAGAGTGGAAAGACATTTCTTTGAAAAAGTTTGTGTTTGGTTTCCTAATCATTACTAGGTTTATCTCCTGGACAGCCCTCAGGCTCTAGAAAGGTTATCAGTCTACAACTTCTCTGTCGGTTTATTTAAACAGGCTTTTCATGACCATTGTCGAGACATTCGATTAGCTATTATTAGTTTCCTTCTAAAAAGTAGAATAGGGTCCTTAACCTCATTCTGTTAATTGACTGCTTTCATTAATTTGCAGTAACTTGTGTTCAAGCTGGGTAAAATCACAAGTTTAGATAGATGTCCAAAGTTGTTCGGTTTGGTTGTTTAAACTTGAAAATTTTCAAGTGGTTGCAAATAACTGTTTATATTGTCTTTACACAAGTTAAATGCCCATACTTCTAGGTTAGTGATGAAATCAGACATAGTAGGACTCAAAGGAAGACTCGTAGATTGCTTTACATACAACTGTTTTTTCCCCTTTGATATGGTAGGTAACTTGGAGTACGTATGTGGTATGTCAGCTCCTTGCACAGGTTGAGGTCACCACTGTCCCTGCTCCTGAAGTTCAGCCTTTCCTGCTTCATGCGCCCATCATCTTCCCAAGCTTCCCCAGCAGACTCCTGTCACTTCTCTACCTAAACCTTACTAGGAAAGAGAAGATTCTTCAGCCATGTTCAGATTTTGTTATTTTCCACTCATATTTCTCTTCAAACACTTTGATGAATATAGATAGCCCCGCCTTACCTGTCTGGAAGTACTGCAAGTCTAATAGAATGTACTTTAACTGGGCAGATTTGTTGAGTCTTAAAACCAGCTCAAAGCTTCATTTCTACACAAATTGCTGATAATTACTTCACACTGAATTCCCAACGATGCATTTTACAGCCCAGGCACTGTATCATTATGGTTAAATTTAGGGGAGAGAAAACAGGGTAGTGCCATTTTATTACATTAAAATGACAAAATGATCCCAGGAAACCAGTATTCCAAACACTTACTGTTGAGGAATGAAAAGGATCTAGAAAGTAGCCTTTTTTTTTTTTTTTAAGTTCAGTGACATACATTGGATATGGGTGTGATATGCAATTTATTTGAATGCATAATTCCAAAAAACTAGTTTCAATTGATTCCCCCCCCCTTTCTATATAAAAGCTCAGTGCAGTTAACTGTGAGAACTTGTCAGGTTTGCTTGTTTTATCTATATTTATCATCTCCACAGGTTGAGGTCACCACTGTCCCTGCTCCTGAAGTTCAGCCTCATTACTTATTATTAGTAATTGGTACATTCGCAATCAGTGTTGAATGAAGAAATGGAGTGATACCTTCTCTCCATAATCCAAGGGTATGCCAAGATAGCAGAGACCTCAAACTGAAAAAAAGAATAGACCTGAACATTAGTCAGTATATTCTGAATATCTTTTGGCATCACATTAGCTCAGGAGAGAAAGAGCAAGGAATTTGACACTTTTCTCCCCTTTCAGGAAATGCTCTCAAAGATTTTAGCTTGATCTGAATGGTGCCTTCATGTCCTTAACAATACATCTTGGCGCAATCTTGGGGATTCCTAGCACCCAAGAGTAGAATTTATAGTCCGTGTGTTTTTTTCCTGTTGCAGATGTCCTCATCTACCCTCTTTCTGACAACATTCCTTTACAGGGCCTCTTATGACCCAGATTTAGACCTTACCAGGTAGATACCTTTCTGGGCTTCAGTAAAACTACTCTGGGAAATAACAAGAGAAAGACATGCCTGAGAGTGAGCTACTGAGAAAGGCTCAGAGCTGAAATGCGATCCCAGGGAATGCCAGTACCCACATAGCTGGGCTTCAGCATTTTTGTTGTGGAACCCACCAATCAAGGGGTTGCCTATCTCAAATAAAGAGACAGAATTTATAATTTTAGAAATCTGAAATAGAATTTGCAACGTGATCTCAGTGACTGGGTCACTTCTCCTTGTAAAGATTTTTATCTGATTATAAAACAAATGGCCTGCTTCTTCAAGGCATATTAATGCCATGAAATCATGCTTCAGTTTCGCCCTCTTTTTTGCTATCTGTAGGATCTTACAGCTTGGTAGAAGAGAAGGCATGACAGAGCATTCATTTCTACCAATGCCCTTCTGGCCTCACCCCCTACCCCAAAAGGTTATTTAATATTGTCTGGGCATTGAAATATTTTTTTTTTTTATTTTTGACTATGTTATTGGGTCTGCACATCTGCTTTATGGTGAATCTGGATCTTTGGGGGGGAAGGGGGAAACGGTCTCAGAATTCTCAATCTTTTCTGGATCCCAAAATGATACGTTTGGAGACTGAGAACCTTGGTGAATAAAAGTAATACGGTCTCCTCTATGAATTTGTTCTTGTAAGTTTCCAGGATACAGTGCTGCTTGCTGAGGAAGTACTAAAGCTCACTGGTGCCCCTGTGGTCCCAGGGCTGCAATGCCACCTGTGCCCACACCCACCTGCTTTGGCACATCTCCAGACAGAGCTGCAGCCTCACTGCAGTTGAGTCTGCTTCTTGCTTCTAGGGATCTCAGTGAGAAGCAAAACGATTCAACCAGCAAAGCAGAAAAAAATGTGCTGCCCTCACTCAGCTCTGAGAGTTGCACTCAACTATCACAGTTTCTTGCAGTTTCTAGTTTAATTTATCTTACAAAGGGACCAGTTGTGCAACCCAGGATAAACCCTTCTGCGGAATAATATCTCAAAGAACAAAAGTAGCAAATGACAGGCTATGACCAGGGACAGACTTTGGGGAAGGCTGTGTTTTTGAAATGAGAGCCAAAGAAGTTTTCACCTTCTAGCCCACACGTTGAGTTACTGAAAATAAATCATTTCTACACATATCTTGTGTTTTGCTGCTACTCTGGAGAGTAATCTAACTCATCATTTGCAATCAGGGCCTCCGAGTTCTGTTTGTGTTTGCTTTTGCTCTTCGCTTTGCTACTTGTCCGGGTGTTTGCCTTTGCATCTGACATCTGTTGGTAATGGAAGCCTTTGTCTTCTGCCGGCCCGCCCCAGTTCTCCTGGCTCTCGCCCTCTGTGGCATAGGAGAAGCCTTCCTCCACCGAGAAAGGGTCGTCCACGTCATAGCGCTGGTACATGCTTTGGTGCAGGGCTTCTTCTCGGGCACTGATTTCCAGGGTGCTGTTCCAGATGCCGTACCCAAAATAAATGAGCATACCTGCAGGGGCATGGGGAGAAGGCAGTGTGAATGAGCAGTTGTTTGGGGGAGCCCCAGGGATGGCAGGAGAACTCCCTCAATGGTAAAAGCTGAGCTGGCCGTGGCTGTGTTTTCTTAGGTCCACACGGTATTTTGAAACGACTTGAATTAGATGCCATTAAAAAGAAATCTGGAGGCCTTGCATTAAGCCCTCTGCATTTATAACTTTTGCTAAGGAAAGTGAGAAGGCTTGACAATGCTGTACTTGCACACCTGTATGGCAACTTTGGGCTGCAGGTGAGAACTAGCTGCCTTGTTGGACAGGATATGTCATTCAGCTCCCTACCCTCACGTAGGTGCCAGGCAGAAATGGCATTTCTGCCCTCTGTTAAATATTTATGGATCAGAAATAGTGTGTTCCCAATTTTCTCATCACATTTTATTACCCTATGCTACCACTTCGGGACTCCATCTTTTATTTCACCACTTAGAAACTCGTATATATTAACTTTATGGCTCCTCTTGCCATTTTTCACTCGTCAAAACAAAATATTACTGCCACTCAGAGCTGTCGTGTTCTTTTGTGTGTTCTTAGAACACTAGTGCATGCCACGGCAATGGCCCTTAGAACATTGGTGGTGTGATTATCTATCTGCACAGGGTGAATTTACTTCGCAGGCTGTAGAAAACTGACACTTATTTTGTTGAATGAATGACTGACACCCAAAGAGCATGCAATGTCCACAGCAACTCCCTGCTTTACAGCCATTCCAAGCAAGTAATTAATAATTAGAAATTAGAAGTTCGCCTTCCTAATTAATACAAAACATATTAATATGGGCACATGCCTCATTTTTACTAGAATAAAAATTGGAGGCTCTATATTTTCTAACGTGAAAAACCCATGAAAGCCTAAGGCCTGGAGAGCTAAGAACCACAACTTCGGGAGGTTACATCATCACAGGATGTGATGATTAAGAGTTATGACATTGTACAAATAAGAAGAATGATATAATAAATAAATATATATAAATAGAAACGAGTGGACACTGGGTTCAAATCCTGTCTGCTTCACTTCAAGCTGTGTAATCTGGGATCAGTTACTTAGCCTCAGTTGTCTGTTAAACCACTAGAGTTACTGTACCTATACCATAGGGTTGCTGTGAGGATGAAGGAAGACGCAGTGGTTTTCTACTCTGTCTGCCCCTGAGGACCACATGGGAGCTTCTGAACCAGGCTGATGCCCAAGCCCCATTGCTGGGTCTTCTGCTGTCATTGTCCTGCAGAGGGGCCTCAGCAGAGATGCTGCTAACAGATGATCCCAGTGACTGGCCAAGGCCGAGAACCCCTGATCAGAGGCCAAAGGGCTCTGCTAACTACTGTGTTGCTAACTCTGGCTGTACTCTGGCCTGGCCACTGGGGGACCACTCAGCTATGCAGCCTGCAGCCCCCTTCTGAGTGGCACTCGTCCCTTTGACTCTGAAGCCTTGAGGGGTCTCTAGGGGGCAGTTGGCTTAGAACTGCAGGGCTGTTTTCCATGTTGGTGCTTCAGAATCCTGCTCCCTTTGGAATTTGAAGTGTGTCTTTTTAAAACCTGGATTTCTTTCTCCTTGTCACAAATGGCTTTTTTCCCACCCCCTCCTATAACCATCAGTGAAATCAAGTCTCCAGGAGCCAAAGTCAGCAGAGATTTATAGTCCTAATTGGTAATAAACCCTAGAGTTAATCATTCGCAGATGTGGCTATTCTCGAATGGCGATTTCCTTTTTCTGAGCCTGTCTTTTTTTTTGTCTGTGGGTGGGGTGTGGCTAAGGGAATAGTTAATATGCTTGTGTAAAACAATGCCTCAAACTGAGGCCACTTCTAAAAGGGCCAGTTTGTTGCTTCTCGGAGAACGCTTCTGTTCGAAACATGTTTGAAATTCGAGAATGATTTCAGGAATAAGTGGGATCAGCAGGCACACCCCCTTTTTTTTTTTGCCAATTTTTCTTTTTGACTCTCTTTTCTCCTCGATATCCAGGCAGGAGCCAAATCTTGCCTTCTACTCTTGCCTGGTACCTACTATCTATATCATTTCTTTACTTTATGATGGCATTTTGGGACCCTGTTTATAAGTGAGCTATTTCCTTAGTGAACTGAATGCCAATTTTTTTCTCTTCACTTTGCTCCTAACTTCTCTGTAGCTATACAGGTCATTGTTTGAGCATGGTTTGACACCGATGGTGAAAAAATCCTCCACCAGATTTTGGGGTATAGGGCAGAATGACATTTGTGGGAGTTCTCTAAAAACCTTGGTGTGACTGCTCATAGAACTGTGTTACTTACAACTGGAAAAGAGTCTCTAGCCCATCCAGCTAGTGGGATACCTTCATTTTACTGATGAAAAAACAGAGTGGATAGACTAAGTCATTTGCTTGGGTTTAAGAAGGACTGAACAGTAATCCAGGCAGAGGAAAAAGGCTCTTTTCCCCCTGCCCTGTAAACCTCAGCTGGTTTACAGACAGTGCTTAGTGTATTCAGGAAAAGGGTAGGCTTATATTTGTTCTTTGGGAATAGCTGGACCCAGAAGGAATGTGTGTGAGCATGTGTGTTTCTGTGTGTGTGTGGTGTGTGCACGCAGACGCATCGACTGTGATTACTTTGAGAAAGCTCCTCATGGAAAGCTGCCACATAAATATTTATGGACCCTTTAACATTTGCTCTATGCTCCCTACAGTTTCAATGATGTGTCACTTCATCTTCAAACATACATTTCAAATACGAGTCTGTGAACCACAAAGTGTCTCTGAGCATGCAGCCTGGTGGAATAAATAGCGGGCCTGGGCAAAGGCATTCTCTTAGTTCTTGGTGTTCTGTCTTCCTTCATCCTTGCTCCCTGAGGCAATTTTGGAAAAGTGGAGAAGGATGCAGAGAAGGATGAGAGAAAAGGAAAAATGGAGAGGAGGTGGGCAAAGAAACAGTGGGCAACAAGTAAAGTGAGGGAGGGGAAACAGAAAGTGGAGGGAGGGAAGGATGTGGGGGGAAGAGAGTGAGAGAGAGAACATGTACTACCATCTGTCACACATAAACAAGGGCTTTGTGTTGGAGGAGTAAACAGAGCTGCTAAAGCCTCCTGTGTAGAAACAGGGTGTTTTGTTTCTGCTTCTTTTTCCAGTTGGCTAAGAGAGCACAGCATGAGGTAGCTTCTGCAAAATCTGTGGGGGTTCTGGGAACACTGAATTACCAACACTGAACTTCACCTGACACCTCTCGGTGCTCAGGTCCTGTGATGATGCCTCATTTCTTTGAGCCTCTCTTCTAAGGAGCTCAAAATGTTGTACAAATATTATCTTGTTTAGATCTTGCTTGCTTGCTTGGGAAGTATGTGTGTGTTCATAATTATGCACATTTTTACAAAATCAAGGATTGTCCACAATGACACAGACATCAGTCAGCCTGTTAACACTTCTGGGTTTCTCCATGCCCAGTGCAGAGGGCTTCTACCTGCTATTTCTGCCATTTACCAGGAGCGTAGCAGATAGTTATTAAAAACAATCTTGCTTGAGGTTTTATTTTGAGCAATTTTGAATACATACAAAGTGGTGAGCAATGGTCCCCATGTACTCATTAGTAGTTCCTTCCCAGGCCCCCACTCCCATAATTTTCCTTTTAGTTACTTTAGAAAAGTCACTTCCATCATATGGTTCACCCATAAATATTTTAGTATGTTTCTTTAAAATAGACTCCTTTAGAAAAAAATAATAGCATCATCATCACATCTAAAAACTATTACTAATTCCTTAATATCATCTCATTACTGGCAGTCTGACAATTTCCCTGGACTTCTTATATAAGCAGGGAGTTCTTTGACTTAAAAGGCTATATACATATTCCCCTGATGCTCCCTCTGCTTGATAGAGTTTGGGGCACTGTTATTTTAGTTGTCACTAGAACTGATGTCATATTCTTTTGTCAACCTCCAGGCTGGCAAAGTTTTATCTTTTTAAAAAAATTTTTATAATAGTTTATTTTTACATCATTTTGTGCCTTTTCCCATCTCAATTGTAATCCCGGTGGGCTTCCCATCACCAAATCACCCGTGTGCCATCACCATAGAGTTTTATCTTTTGAGTGTGGATTTGCTTTTGGCAGAAGCCAGAAGTCATTTGGAAACAAGTCTCAAGAATACACTGACAAATATTCCTTATTCTATCTGCATATTTAATTCTGCCATTTCTTAAAAACTTACATCTGTTGCTTTGGAGTTACTAATTTTGTATTGGTAACAATGAGAGGCAGGTGTGTTAAAAATCAGAAGGGACGCAGCTTCTGTGTTGCAGGAGAGTGCTGGAGTCCCCCTGTTGGGGGTATTTTTAGTTAATGGAGAGGACTGAGGGTGGGCAGAGGGCACTCAGGGAAGGGACTAGTTAGCAGGTGCAGGCGTGTTTGAATATTTTAACTATAGACATGGCTGTACTGGGGCCTGCGGTTTGAGCGCCATACCCGGTGAAAGTTAATGGCAGCGAGAACTGTGAAAGGTTATTTACATGGAAGGGAAACAAAGAAAGGCTTAGAACTTCCTTGGTGGTCTCCAGTGCCTGGGACAGGTTCAGACTAGAAAAGGTAGCAAATCCTTAAGTCAGCCATTGAACGGCCTTTCTTTATGTAGTAGAACACTTTATGATCATAAACCCTGTGTGAAAAGCACTCTCTTGCCCATTATCCCAGGGAAGTTAAGAACCATGCAATACATTAGAGATTGAAATGGCACCGGAACTCGTATCTCTCACTGCTAAACTGAGGGTAATCTCGTCCCTCCCAAGTGCCCCTGGGAAGGGTTAGGAAGCTGCGCCTGCCTGCTGATGCAGGCACCATCTGGGAAAACAGCACCTCACTCCGCTTGTATTGTTCCACCCCATGCAAAGTAAGCAAATGATCCCAAATCTAAGTGAGAGGGGGCGCAGGAAGGCTGGTCTATGGATCATATGGGAGAAAACAGTCTAACAGCAGATGTCCCATTCTGTGGGCATAAACTCAAGCTG